AAGTATAGAAGAGAATTTTGCGATTTGTCTTTTTTTTGTTCCCTTGAGCAGGGAAGAGGAGCGAGCAGGACAAGTTTTACTCAGAATTTCACCAATTCATTTCTTCAGCTGTTTGGGCAAAGAGCGAAGATTTTTTTCCTTACTTCACTGGGGCGGAAGAAGTGAGGGGCATTGAAGCGGAGAGGAAGGATCAAAGTTCTGAAATTTCTATATAAATCTCGGTACTGAACTTGATTTTGCACATTTATTTGCATACCCCGAAAAAACTGCTGACCTTTAAATCAGCATTGTAACCCAATAATAGTAGTGGTTCGCCATTCTGATGATAATCTGATATGACTGCACCGCCGATTGCCGCGATTATCAACACCACCATCCTCTACTTCTGGCACCCATCCAGGCGGCAACATGCTTATGGGGAAGAGAAGGGCGGACCTTTCGCGGCTCCTTATATTTAAAGACAAGGAACCGGCTCCGGGGACAGTCTTAAAACTTTTAACCTCTCCAACCAACTCAGTGCGCCTCTCACAGCTTACATCTCCAAGCAATTTGTACTGCTCCTCTACGGCTATTGCTGCTTCTCTACGGTTACGCAAAGAAGATAAACGCGATGATCCATATCGTAATGTCCGTGGATGATATTTCAGCTGTAGCTGAAACTCATCAGTCCATGAAAATTTTGGAGCAGAAGGATCGATTTGGAAATGTACGACTAAGTATTCTTCGGAGAAACCAGCAGCGGCGCCGACCATCCAGGAGAATTTGTTGATCCGAAATTTGCAGATTTAGCTGCTCCCTCATATTTCTGCAAGCTGCACCGTATACGTGTTGAATGTGTTCAAGCTGCCTCGACAACTCCTGAATATCCAACACTTCCTGAAAATCCTTTGGACATTGACTCGACACTTTCGGAAAATCCCTTGATTATCGAGAAAAACGCAGGCAACCTCCAGCCCTGGGCAACAACAATAATAGAGGCAACAACAGCAACAACAGCGGTAACAACAACAACAATGGCAATAATAACAGCTACTACTACAAGAACCATATCAATAGCAACAACAGCATAAGGAATATCAACACCAATATAAGCGACAGCAGCAGCTCCAGGATATCCGGGATCTTCCAGATTTGTGCGCATAGTGTAAATATTTCAATATTGTATATATAAAGATCAATGCATTAGATCAGGTATTATGCAAATTTGATTATCCACGTCAATAATAAGTGATACCGACCGTTTGTTCCAAGTATCCGGTGCCATTAGGCTTAAAATCTGTAATGCCTGCATTTGCTTTAACTGTTTTTTTTTCTGTCTAAGCTTATCGTGCAATAAGAGGAGCTTTGAGAAAATATTCATGTAGCTTGTTTTTACAGGAACTGATTCTCGGTGGAAACCAAAAACTGTTAAAAATAGTCGAAATTTACGTTATGCGCAAGTGTGCTGCGCATATAAATCTTAGCAAAAATTTTTTGGCAGAATTTTGATTTTTTCCTCTTCTTCGGCATTTTTTTGGAAGCTAAATTTAAAAAAAAGATGTATCCTAAATGTCAAAAACCATGTATCCATGCTTGTATAGCTAGCAATCCTTGAATTGTGGCCTTATAATTTCGTGAGTATACGTATTGCAATTCCATGATTTACAGGAATACAAGTCTTGAAAACATGATTTAACTTATGATTAGCAAATTCATTCTTTTGTTCAGCTCTGAATGCAATTTTTGCTGTGAAAACAATGATAATTCACTGTTTACTTGATGATCTCGTAGCTATTTTGTTTTTTTTTTTGTATTTTTTTTTCAACTCCTATTTGTTACGTTGAGCTATCAGAAATGCTTTAATGCAGATTGTTGGAAATTAAATAAATTCATTAAAAATGCTTGCGAAAACAAGCAATATTGAAAAACGAACTCTAAAGAAACACGTGACACGTAAGAGCACTGGTACCATTGTACAAACAGTATATATCGATTACAAGCGAGAGATACAGTGACGACAAGAGAATCAGTGAAATTTGCATACTTTTGCGCCGTATTTGCTCACAATGTAGCTTTTTTTCGGACAAATCTTCCGGATTATCCCAGATTTACGTACCGCGGGGATTTTGATGGGAGCAAAAAGGTTTTTTGGTACTTCGTTCTTTTCACGGACTTTCCTTTTTTCACATTTTTTTTCACCGAACAAACGTTTAATTTTTCAAAATAACCTACTCTAGCGCTTGGTTTATTATTTCAGTGCGAAAAAGTCTTATAATACTACTGGTGCCAGCTTCATCCTATGCAAAAGTCCAGGATTCATTACATACCTCATGATCTTCGGAGGATGCAATTTTCAGTGGCGCTCTTGTTAAAAAGGAATGAGCTGGCAATCTGGATTAAAATGCTAATACATTAAGATAACTGGCTGGGAAATCGGTGTGGAAATCCCATGCTAGTGATGCTGCAAAATGCCCCAGCGTTGTCAATGACAGTAAAATGCGTTTGGTCCTGGATCTCACACTTTGTCCAAGTACCACACTTGCGTGTACATTCTTATAACTTTGTTTTTCATGCAATATAACTTGGCTTCTAAGATAAGTAGCGCTATTATTTCCATTGCCATCAAGGCTGTTTTCCATAACAGAGTCAGCTTCTTTGCGATGAGCAAATTAACTTGT